AACATAAGCAGGGGGAGTGGGAGAGGGAGAAGCAGGCTTCCCGCTGAGCAGAGAGCCCGATGTGGGGCTTGATCCCAGGACCCTGGGATCATGACCTGAGTCGAAGGCAGACGCTTAATGACTGAGCCACCCAGGCACCCCTAGCTGTCACTTTCATACACACACACACTCTGTTCGAAAATTCAGTAGCCATCCTGCTCTGTCCCCCTGAAGAGTCGTTGTGACAGGTAGGGTCTGTTCTGTGCCCTTGTTCTGTCACTTGTTTAGCATAAACCTGGAAGAATGATCCCAGGACTCCACCCAGTACAGGAGCCGCTCCATCGGCCCAGGAGAGGAGCCCTGGAGAACGGGAGGAACTGAATCCACCCTCCAGTTCATGAGCTGGTCACACTGCCTCCCCCCGCACCTCCTCCCCAGTCAGCAAAAGTCCCAAGTCAGCAAGGTCCCCTCTGCCCCGTTCCCAAGGCCAGAGTCACCACAACGAAATAGGCAACCCAGGACTCTATGGGTTCCAGAGACACCCAGGGGCCTTTGTGGGAGTCAGCCCTCCTCAGCATTAGCCTATGGGCTGCACCTATGGGTGCCCCTCACTTCAGTGTCTGAACATGACCCTGTGTGGAGCTGACGCCCCAGGGAGGACGTTTACGTAAAACACGATTCGGTCCACACAGCCCCGAGGAATGATGGAATGGCATGGGCTTGCATGGGGTCATGGCCCAGTGGCCTTTCCTGTCCCCACCTCCTGGGAGCCCTCCCTCTCCACCTGCACACACCCCAAGGTGACTCTTAGGGGGATCTCTCTGCTCCAGATACAGATCGGCTGCCACACGGATGACCTGACCAGAGCCAGCAAGCTGTTCCGAGGCCCACTCGTGATTAACCGGTGCTGCTTGGACAAGCCCACCAAGTCGATCACCTGCCTCTGGGGCGGCCTGCTCTATATCATCGTGCCTCAGAGCAGCAAACTGGGCTCTGTGCCCGTAACTGTTAAGGGGGCCGTGCATGCCCCATACTACAAGCTGGGTGAGTGGGAGCCGTGGGGAGTGGGAGAGCTGGGTCAGGAGATCATCTGGGGCTGTTTGGTGTAGGAGGAGAGAAACTCTGGGCTGGTAGAGGGGAGGAAGCTAAGTTTCCTTAGATTCAGCCCTGGGGCCAAGGAGATGAAGACCAAACCACATTCTTGGAGACTTCCTAGAAGGATCAGAGGGGCGATATGGTCACTCATGACCTCGGTCTTTCCCTCCCGGGGTTCAAGTTGGATGTTTTAACATAAGGGATTTGGGAAAGTGAGTTTCAAGCCCCATGGCCTCTCTTCCCAGGGGAGACCTCCCAGGAGGAGTGGAAGAGGCGCATCCAGGAGAATCCAGGTCCCTGGGGAGAGCTGGCTACGGACAACATCATCCTGACAGTGCCAACCGCCAATCTCCGCACGCTGGAGAACCCTGAGCCGCTGCTTCGCCTCTGGGACGAGGTGATGCAGGCTGTGGCACGGCTGGGGGCTGAGCCCTTCCCTCTGCGTCTTCCTCAGAGGATCGTTGCTGACGTGCAGATCTCAGTTGGTGGGTGCTCTGTGCATGCCGCCCCTGTCAGCCTTCCTTTCTTTCAACAGACAAGCAGTGGGCAGCCAGCACGGTAAAAACGTTTTTCTAGCAAGACATACAAGATGTAAGTCTTGCTATTTAAACGAAAGGGGGGAGATACGTATTTAAAAAAATAGACTCGGCCAAATCCCCCAACAAAACAATTGGAAACTACCTAAGTACCCAACAGTATGGAATGGTTACGTAATATATGGACAGACACTGAGGAAAATTTCTAAAGTGGTATTTTGATGGCATAAGGAAATATGATGGGATTATGGGACATGAGAAAAGTGGGCTGTGGAACCGTATGTGAGCAGCATGTGAAATAATGAACAGTCTAAGTCGGCATGTCAAGACTTGTCCTCCAACAGCCAGAAGAACGCAGGAACAAAGTGCTAGGCTTTCACAGGAGTCCCACTGGGGGCTTAAGGAGAAAGTAAAAGTGGTGGGGGGTCTCCCCCCAGGGTCACAGTTGTTGGGAGAAGGAATTTAACAACGTTGAGAAGACACTGAATGAAGAGATCTCTGCCAGTGGGTCAAGAGCCTTACAAATCAGGGGGTGTGTAGAAATGAAAGAACGATGGAAATTTCTTTAGACCCCAGTTTTCTTGCCTTACGGAGATGATTACTATAAAGTAGCGTCAACGTGGGCAACACCGTTTCTAAATAATGAGAAGGGGAAACCACCATCCAAGAGTTCTCCATTTTGAGAAAAGAATATAATGAGACAGATTCACATGACAGGACACCCTCACAGAAGTGAAGAAGCTGGAGAGTAACATGAAGGGCTGTTTGTAACGTGCATCAGACCCATTACTGTCAGGCCAGAGTGAGGGTGGGGGAGAGCCCTGGTGGGCCTCGTGTGGATTGCCCTTCTGAGCCTTACGGGGTTCTGGAAGTCCTGGTAAAGACGGGTGGGGAGCATTCTAACCCCTCTTCCCTCCTTCCTGCATTCCCAGGCTGGATGCATGCCGGGTACCCCATCATGTGCCATCTGGAATCTGTGCAGGAGCTCATCAATGAGAAGCTCATCAGAACCAAGGGGCTGTGGGGCCCCGTCCACGAGCTTGGCCGCAACCAGCAGCGGCAAGAGTGGGAGTTCCCCCCGCACACCACCGAGGCTACCTGCAATCTGTGGTGTGTTTACGTGCACGAAACGGTCTTGGGCATCCCTCGAGGCCGGGCGAATATTGCTCTGTGGCCTCCAGTTCGGGAGAAGAGAGTCCGAATCTACCTGGGCAAGGGTCCCAATGTGAAAAACTGGAATGCGTGGACTGCGCTGGAAACATACCTACAGGTACTGGGCAAGAAGGGAGGGGGATGGGAAACCCCGCGGGGGGACCGCCCGTGCAACCTCGAGAGGGGACACCCTAGTGACCCCAAAGTGGACTTAATTGCCTCAGCCGCACCCTCACGCCATGATTTTGGGGAGATTCATGAGAGTAGATAGAAAGCACCAAGGCAGAGGCGAGGACAGTACTCTTCAGTTACCATGGCTTGCTCTGAAGCCAGACATACCTGAGACTGAAGCCAAACCATGTCACGGAATAGCTATCTAACACCAAACACCATGCCCAACCCCCACACACACACGTTATGGAAGGGGACCCATCATTTTCCTTAGAAACTGCCTCAGTTTCTCCCTCAGAGGCAATCCAAGATGCCTCAGTGGCCTGCACATGAGGTTGCCTCTGCCTTTGAACTATTCTCCAGCATCCAAGTTCCCTCCCCCGAGTCCCTGGAGCGGCTCCCAGGCCACCGTGCAGAGTCTCACCACCTGGGATTCCAGAACTCAGTCTCCAGCCAGGTTCTTCCACGTGCCCGACTTCCTCTCTGTGTGTACCCACTGCCCCGAGAACGATAGCGAAACTGCCCGGAGACTCTAATCTCGTCGCTGGGGCCACTTCACCCCAGGGACAAAAGTTGTTCAGCTGTGAAATCCAGCTGAGGGTGTTTCAGAGAACTGCTACTGTCCATCCTAACCTTAAAGCGCCATAACCCGGCCTCACACGGGCTTTTTCCAGGGGCCTCGGGCCAGCTGCCTTTTCCTAAAATGATGCCTTACTTAACTTCTTTCCAACCACCTAGACTATACATCATCTTCTGTTTCTACCGGACTTACTTTTTTTCCCTAAAGGCCATGTCAGTAGCCTTACAGATTGGCACAGACCTGTGACTGATGCAGGTTATGTCCGGGTAAGGGAGAGGGGGATAGTTCTCCTGTTTTGGGGGTTTAACTTTGCAGCTGTGAAAGATACAAGGATTTTTTTCACTTCAGTCAGCTTTAAACCCTTGTGTGATATCCTCTCGACACTTTCACGATGGAGTGAGCTACCACCTAATGACGTAGGTGGTAAATACTGATAATAATCATGACCGTGATTACCACAGCCATCCTTTATTAAGTGAGTGCTCCATGCTGAGCACCTCGCTAGCTCAGAGGCCCCATTAAGATAAGACAGAGAGTAGCCCATGAGGCCAGCAGCTAGAACTGCAGAGAGGGCCAGTGACAGAAATGAAACTAATGTTTTTGGGGGTTAAATACATTACATTAATTTATTATAGTGTTTTTGGGGTCTTTCTGTAGATTAAATGTCTCCTCCTGCTGCCCCTTTCTCTCCCCAGCTACAGGAGGCCTTTGGTTGGGAGCCATTCATCCGTCTCTTCACTGAGTATAGGAACCAGACCAACTTGCCCACAGATAATGTTGACAAAATGAATCTGTGGGTGAAGATGTTCTCCCACCAAGTGCAGAAGAATCTGGCTCCGTTCTTTGAGGCCTGGGCCTGGCCTATCCAGAAGGAAGTGGCTACCAGCCTGGCCTATCTGCCTGAATGGAAGGAAAATATTATGAAATTATACCTCCTCACACAGATGTAAGGAGTGCCCAGCGAGGTGGCAGGTAGAGAGGTTTGGGGAGGTAGGCAGAGATGGGGATTCATTCCTCGACCTCTGTCTCTTAGGGTTCTAGCCTTGTGCTCTTGGCTCATTGCCCCCATATCTTAATACCTAGTAGTTCTAGCTCTAGGAAGTGGGTTAAGAACACAGCAAAAAGGGGAATCAGAATTTCTTAGGAGCAAGGCCTTCTGTTTATGAGTCTCATTCTTCTGCTCTCAGCTATCATATTCCCTCCTGGCCCTATTTTGGCCTGGTTCTGAGAGCTTTGGCATCTGCCTCTATGCCAGCCCTTGGTTCACCACTATGGGCCATGGCCCTTGCGGGTGGTTCTTATCCTGACATCCTGAGGACTCTCTGGGCTTTTGTTTTTGACCAGTTGTTCCAAACACCTGACCATAGAATCCACTGAAACACAAATTTACCAGGATAAGCAGACAGTTCCTTGATATTCTGTGTCTAGGGTAGTTTTCAAAGAGTTTGGAAAGCAGTCTGGTGCAGTAGAAAGAGCCCATGGCTAGCGTTAGCTCTTGGGGAAGTCATTGTGTCTCTACTCACATTTCCTTGTGTGTGAGATGAGGACAAAAATCCCTGCCTCACAGGGTTGTCGTGAAGACTCAGACTGACAGTTCTGAAGAGGTTTGTGAATGTAGGGATTCTTCTACGTTCTGCTGGCCCCCAGAATAGTGAGCTGAGTACTCCCCTTCTCTCGCCATAGCCTGGAGGTTAAGACCATCATCTCTAAGAATAGACTCCCCGCATCCAAAGCCTGGTTCTTCCACCTGTTAGTCACATGACTCTGGGCAAGTTCCTCATAAAATGGGATCTATTTCATAGAATTATTGTGAGGATTAAATTTTAGTCCCTCTAAAAGGAATTAGAACAGTGCCTGGCAGTTGGTAGGTATTGAGAAAGTGCCAGGTGCCTTTATTACTAATTGGCATTAATTAATCATTTCAGAACTAGACTACCCTTTTACATGGCATTTACAGATGTGGTGTGATCCATCCCATCCCATCCTACACTCTATACACCGGCCTCTCAAAGGACTGGGGTCCATTGCTTTATGAGCTCTAGGATCTACAGGATCCACGGGCTCTAAATTCATAGTGGGGGTCTTACTAGCTACTTGGGGTTTGGTCTCTTTATTCAATTCCATCTTTCAGGTAAAATTCCTTCTTTGATTAAATCAAGAGTGGAAGTCACTTGAAAAATCAGAACAAATCCATGAGGGCGTTTGTCTTTAGCAAACAATGGGCATCCGACTTAGGGATGGTGTTCCTATCAGATTCCTATCACTGCCCAGAATTCCTTACTAGTTTGGCAGATAAAGTCCACACGCAGAGAGAATCTTGACTTCAGAACCAGATAACTGGATACGACTGACCCAAATTTTATTTAATTACAATGCAAAGATTTTCTCAAGTTTTCTTCTAATCCTATTCAAAACCTCCCATTTCCGTGTAATTTTAACTAGAGTTGAGGCTCTGGGATTAATGCACACATCCAGCCAGCTTTCCTTTAGACCACTTATATTTATTTGGATGTAGTTGTTTCAGTACACTATTTTATTTGCCTTATTAAGAATTGGGTGGATGCAGAGATAAGATTTGACCTAGAGAGTGTTTTTCTATGGATTCCTTTATTATGTCATTTCTTAATCCTAGAAGTCTTTTCCCTTATTTCATGAATATCTATCATCTAGATGCTTTAAACATAGATGATGTTGGATATTCATTCAACATTTGAAAAAATTCTATTGATTAGTTAGAATTCTATCAATTAGATAGTATGTGCCAAATACTGTACTTGTTCTTTTATATAGATTGTTTAATTTAATCTTCACAATAATCTTATGAGATGGAAATTTATCACTCCCATTTTAGGAAGAAGTGAACTGAATTTTACAGAGATCAAGTAAATTGCCTAAGTCTACACTGCTAATAAATGGTAGACCTGGGATTTAAACCTGGGCACTCTGATTACAGAATGGGTGTTAATAACTACAGTGCTTTGAATATGCAAATAAATGAGTAAATGAAGAAACCGGCCAGCAAACAGAAGGACCTTTATGTCCCTACTTGCCAGCACTTTGCCTGCTTGTGCTCACTCCTCATCCAATTTTATCAGAACAGAAAGTCCCTTTGTTTCTCCCAAATGCCAGTTAAAAGGAAGAACTTGAGGTAGGCTCCTAAGGTACATCCCAAAGACAGTGACCCATTTAGCATCATCCAGGTCTTTCAGATTCCAGTTTATTCAGGTTTCATTTATCATCTCTAGGGCACCGTGAAAGCATTCTGGTAGGGTACTGGGTTTTGAATGATGGGTTATTTTGGTAAAGTGCCTGACTCCCAAAAGTCCCAGACATTGCATGTTCTCAGCAAGGAAATCAGATTCTTAGTCTTCTAGAATAATATTTGTATCCATCCTGGCCCTCTTTAGTTCATTTTTAGCATTATGGCCCTGGGGACCTTCTTAAAATAGGAAGCTATTCATGTCACTCCCCTGTCTGAAAGCTTCCAGTGGGACTTCGAATATAAGATGATGAACTGAGCATATAAGTTTACCTCCCCTCCCTCCCTAGGCCCCACTGAAATTGAAGTCAAGAAATGCAAGAGAGAATTGACACATCTCAGCAAAGAAAACTAAACAGATTTGATTATAACTGAAGAAGATCTCAACACATTTCTGGAAGAGAGAAAGTGGATGAAACATGAGAATGAATGAAAGAGTGAAGGTATCTTTCAGACAGAATAGAAGCTGATCTGAATAACATAATTCCAAAGAAACATGAGCACCTGAAAAGTCTACAAAGAGTTATACCAGTTGTAAAATTGAATCCCATCCTATTCTGCCCCAACCATTGTGCATAGAATACAGGCAGTCTATAATTGGTATCCATTACAAATCTATTGTTCTTGTTGTTGTTTGTATAGAAATTGAATAAACTGCCTGAGGAGAGGTAGGAGTTGGTGCCCCAGAATAAAATTTCTCTTTTTGTGGAAATAAGTGACCCCTAGCCTATCGGCTAATCCTCTGAATGTTGAAACCCCTCCTCAAGTAACCCTAGTGCTTCTAGTCCTGGAAGAGGCTTATTGGAGAAACAGATCCAACCATACACTGGCAGAGGACACCCACACCAACTCCTGTAAAAGTTAACAGTTATATTGATTCTTAAAACAGTCAGCTAGGAATCCCGTCTTTGGGCATCGGGGGGTGGAGGAGGAGGACCAGGGGAGGAGCATTTAAGAAAAATAATCAGTTAGAATTAGGACGCTTGAAAAATACCACAAGCTCTAGAGGAAACAAAGTGAACATGGAAAGAATAACTTTAAAATCTGTATCTTCAGAGAGATTTGAGGTGTATTTGTAAGATGAGTACAGAATGCTACCCAGAAATGAAAAACTGAGAATAAAAGAGCCCTTGAAAGTGAAATAAAACTGCCCAAAATATTCAGTGGACAGGCTGGAAAATATAGTTGAGGGAAACTCCTTAGATATAGAACAAAAAGAAATAGCAGAAAAAAATAAAGGAAAAGATCTAGACAATCAATATCTAAGCATTAGGACTTTCTGGAAAAGAGAACATAAAAAAATATAGGTGAAGAAATAAAAAGGACAAAAAATGAAGAACAGAAAGAACCACATCTCCAGATTGAGGAGCCCCAATACAACCTACGTCTACACACAATCTTGTGAAATTTTGGAATATTAAGGATACAAGGAAGATGTTAAAAGTGCCCAAAGAGAAAATAAAGTTAAGTCATCACAATTAGCTCAACTAAAACAGGAATAAGAAATAGACTGGCAGCAGATTTTTCATTAGCAATACTGAATGCTAGAAGCCAGTGGAGTAATTTCTTCACTTACAGAAAATTTTTGTACTCAGAATAACATAGCAAGCCAAACTGTCAAGAGTAGTGTCAAAATAAAGACCTTTTCTAACGTGCAAGTTTTCAGAAAGTCTACCTACTTTGCACCCTTTCTGAGAAAGTACCTCGAGGAAGTTCTCCGACAAAATGATGAGGAAAACTGGGAAAGAGGAAAAAACAGAATCCAGAAAACAATGGATCACACCCAGGAGGTGTCACTCTAGCAGACCCATTTCAGATGAGAGTACACAGTCTCGGGCTCTTTGGGGAAAGTATGCATTCTGTTCCATAGATAGTTTCATTGAGAAGCTGGAATGTTTGAGTATATGGAGGACATACATTCTTTAGTCAGCAAAAAGAAAACAGAAATAAGTCAAGACATTTGGGTCCAAATGTGAAACAACAAAAACTCACGGGATATAAGAAGAGACTCAATTGGACATTGGCGGTAGGTACATCTCCTTACAAGAGGCACGGGCTTCATGAACACTGGATATGTACAGGAGAAAATGGCCTAGCTTCTACTCAGCTCTCAGTAAACATGATTTATTTAGCCAAAGTAATGCAGATGCTGTTTGTTGGTATTCAGTGTTCTGATCAGCCTAGAGACAAAACATGAAAGGCTTACTGTTTTATTCAGGAATGAAACTGAAAATAATTAATTCTGACAAATTAAGAAACAAGAGAGCAGAAAGAGGTTGAGAATTGGTTGGGGGAAGAGAGGTGTCAGGAAGAGTGGGGCTACTTAGATATTCACAGTGGGAATGAGAAGATAAAGTCCGCAGCTAATGGAACAAGAACTGGAGGATAGTATATTGTCCAAAGTTATAAATTAAATCAATGGAAGTCTTAAAAATGGCATATCTATCAAAAATTTGGGAAAGGATAGGCATAGGAAAGGTGGGGATAGTGTAAGTTAAATCCTTATCTTTTGTAATGGGGAATTATTAAAGATTGTCTAAAGTTAATAAGTCAAGAATTATTGTTCAGACATATTATTTAATGTTAGCAAGTTAGTCAACAGAAGATCTAAAAATAGAAATTGTTAAATGCATTGCCTCTAGGGAATGGGTCTAGGGTTAAAAGGGGTGGGGTGGGAAACTGTGTTTTTCATTTCAAGTCCTTCTGTACTATTTAATTTTTTACCTTGTGCATGTATTTGAAAAATTTTTAATAAACTCAAATAAAAATTCTTCAGTGACCTCATATTGACTAAGATATGCCCCAACCAAAACCCTTAAAATGGCTTATGATGCCCTCTGATACTTGGATCCACCTGATGTGTCCAGGTTCATCATATCTCCCCATTACTCTCTGGTTCTAGCCATACTAAATATCTTCGAGCTATTCACACCTCACCTTCTCGTTTCCACAGGTGTTCCACAAAAAGCAAAGCCTGCCCCTGATCTCACCATGTATCTGAGATTAAGCTTACTCTCTAGCAGATTTTCAATATTTGTTGAGTGAGGGAACACTCATCAGGTGTTGCATGAAGATGGCCAACCAGTGTTCCTTCCCAAGAAGGCGTATGATATTTGTCCCTATTCCAGGAAGCATTTCAAGATCATATCGGTTTGTAAGTTTGCCTGTATTCCTATTCATCTGACAATTTTAGAAAGTTTTAGTCCTATATGAGACCAGATGGTGTCAGAGGATTTCATCCATCAGTCTCCTTGTTATATTCCTTGCCACTTTGCTTGAACATCATAATCTGCTTTCTGCTGTTCCCCCCCACCCCGCTTCCCCCACCATATTTTGGAGAAGCAGTCAACTCTAAAGGGGAGATCTTCAGGCTCCCAAATTTCTTGTGTCTTGCTATTCCTAGTCTCTTGGTGGCTCTTCTTTCTCTGCTAGTTTACTTTCTTCTATTGTCTAACTCCCAAGGCCAGATAGAGCTTCCTAAGGAATGTTGGCCTTACATCCTTACATATTGGCCTTACAGATCAGTCTGATATATTTAGTCCCTAAACCAATGTCCCCACCTGATGTCCCAACCTCATCTAATATATATGCCTAGCAAGCCAACAGATAACCAGCTATAGCCTTAGATGTTGACTATTTTTGCTGACAAAAGTAACCCATGCTATCCCTTCTTCCAAGACTACATCACATCTGTGTTCTTTATTCCTTCAAAGCTTTTGGACCCCTGCTCAGCTTCCATTTTGAAAAGGATTTCCTTCTTTGACCCTCATCATTGAAGTCAATCTTCCAAGTGTCGTAGAGAAGGAGTGATGGCTGATCCTCTACTTTTCAGACATCTTCTAACTACACACACACTCACACACACACACACACACACATACACTCCACATCTAATTCAAGAGAGCTATAGAAATGCTATTTATACATGTGGATTCTTATACATTTGAATGCTATAAAGAAGCATTTCTTTGTGAGGAAAGGTTGTGTAGATTAAGTTACTGTCAATGTTCTATCGTCATGTTGGATGATTAGTTTTATAGTATTCAGCATATTAGGAAAAAATAGAATAAATGAATGAGTAAATTAAAAAAAAAACATGCATTGACCAGTGATGGCAGTACCAGGAGCCAAGGATTATGTTAACACAAATATGTGTACATGAGGGCCATTAAAACGTTACTTCTGTTCATCTGAACTATACAGGAACTCAAATATACATAATTAAGGAATACATACATGTAGGTACTAAAAATTTCTTTGCATGAACTGCCTAAATCTTGACATAAAATTCACTTTCACAGACTGCCAAAATTATTTAGTATAATTTTGAGATCTGAAATAATACAGGTGAGAGGGAGACAGTGAGGGTGGGAGCTAGGAGGGCAAAATGATCAAATGCAGAACATGAAATCACAGACCCCACAGACACAGAAGACATCCCTCCCTTCCTCAGTACAACCTGGAACCCAGGGCCAAGTATATATAACAGGCTATACCTCTGCCCCATCCTGTTATCTGCAAAGCATCTGTGCTTTAAGTAAGAGCCAAGTGCCTGAAAGAGTTCACAAACTCTTCCCTCAGCCTTCAGCAGGATGGAGAGAAGCAACTCCAACTTTTTGTTTTGTTTTTTAACATGGAGTTTCTCCTTTTGTTCTTGCTGTCAGAGCAGCCTTGAGACCAAACTGTTACCAAGGAAACAGTACTAAGCCTCAACCAAGGCTTTGACATTTATTCACAAGACTTGTGGCACTGTGAGCTTGTCCATTGGTAACAAACAGTCAAAGCCTAGAGCAGACTTAAGTCTCAATGCTCCTAGGAAACTGAGATTAAACTATAAAAAGGCGAACAGCCGACTCGTGTCAGTAGGGTTGGAGTGACCTTTGGATAATGCCTAGTGGATCTCTGGTACTGGATCAAGAAGAGTGTTTAATGGGATGGGGAGGAGAGAATACGCTCAGGTATGACAGATGATGGTATTCATGCCCTCCAGCCAAAGACCACCAGCAACACACCCATAGTTGAACAAGTTGGATCCCAGTGAGGGTAAACACTGCAGGAAACTGGGCATCTCAGTAAAAGGGTGTTAAAAGAAACTACTAGAGAATTTGGGCTTTGGGTGGATAATTTTGGGGAGAGTCTAAGGAAGCAAGGGTAATTCTATGATTGTCTCAGTAAACGTCATCTATTGGTGGGGATGACTGAAGTGCCCATAGAGCTATAATTGGTTTCTGAAAAAGTAGCAGGTCCTCATTTTAGACAAGAAAGAGGGATATTTGGTATTGTGTGTTTGCCCAAGGATCTTGTTCTTGCCTTGCTTGATCATGCTCTCAGAGTGCTCTTGTTTGATGTGGTTGTTCTATGAAATTGTTCATGCACAAAGGGGAAAAACAGTGCCTAGCTGTGAGTGTGTCAGACAAGTGCCTGCATGTCAACAGGTGCTTTTGTTTTCTTCCGCAGCCCAAAAGAATGGATGAAGAGCCGTTGTTCCTCTTACACAATATTAAAATATGCATTCCTCTTGACTGAACATGGGGATAAATGGGGGAAAAAATTAATATCACAAGGTACCCAAGAGTGACCCTTGCAAAGGATGACTCCTTAATGCTGCCCTAGACAGGATGTTATAACTTGGTTATAACTCAAAATGAAGTTGGGACCACAAGTCAATGCTAACGGGTCACTTCCTTATTGTCTGAAACATCCCCCCTTCTGAATGTAGATGCCCTGAGCCATTCTAGGAGGAATAGAAAGTAGGCTTTAGGGCAGCAGTTTGCTTTGACCTAGCAGGAATAACGTAACAATAATATACCTTCACAATCTGTGTAAATGCACTTGCTAATTGAGTCACACAGAGAAAAGCTGGAATTTAAAGTGGAAACTAAAGATGCCTTTACATTAGATACATAATGCTTTTCTGAAAGGAGTAGCGGAAGCCATTTTCTCCTGCGCTCAAACACCCCTTTTTGAATTTACAGTCTCTGTGGGACAGAGAGTAAGGTAGTAAAGATCTGGGGCCTCACTGAATCTTAAATATTTTTTAGCACAAAACTAGATGAAGCCACTAGAAAAATACTTTCCCAAGTTAAATTAAAATCCTTCGTGTTTTATCTGCCCTCTTTTAAGAAATGTTCATGGAAAAGTTTCCTAAACATTCATAAAATCATCTGGGCATCCCCTTCCAATCAGGTCATTGGGTCACCTATAAATTCATTCAATTAACATTTATTGAACACCTACTACAATGCTAGTTACTGTTATAGGGTCTGGAAATACACAATAAACATAATAAAGCACCTGCCCTCATAAATATTCCAGTTTGAACATTAAAATGAACAAATAGGGGTGCCTGGGTGGCCCAGTTGGTTAAGCGTTTGGCTCAGGTCATGATCTCAGGATCGTGAGATCGAGCCCTGGGTTGGGCTCTGTGCTGGGCATGGAGCCTGCTTACGATTTTCTCCCTTTGCCCATCCCCCCTCCCCTCTGATGTGCGCACACACACACTTAACTCTCTTTCAAAAAAAAATTTTTTTTAATGTAAAAAAAATAAGACACCATTTGTTACAAAAACAAATAAAATAAAATAAAATGATCAAATAAACATATATCAAGTATGATAAGTGCTATGAAGGAATATAAAACAAAATAAAGTTAGGAAAGTGAGCGTTCTGGTGAGCAGGGGGGTGGGTACTGGACAAAGAGTACGTTTGCCATTTTATGTAGTTAGGTCCAGGAAAGCCTCTCTGATAAGGGGACATTTGGCAAATCCTTGAAGAAAATGATGGAGCAAACCAAGCAGACAATTCAAGGCAAAGAGAGGTAAAACTATATTTGGCATATTGAGAGCCGCAAGACAGACAAGAGTTCCATCCCTCTAAGAGTCAGTAGCTACTCTCTTGGATGTAAGTGTTGATTTCTGACCTTAACCTTATGATAGGATCCACTGACCTAATGGAAACTCACAACTTGTGAATATCTCTCCTCAAACTTCAAAATCAAGGTGCACTTCACAGGAGTTTCTCCCTCTGGAATTTAGGAGTAAGAGGGGCTCATCTTAGTGGTTTCTGTGACCTCTACCAAAGGTATTGAATGAAGACATGCCTCTAAGTTCTGGGCCCCTGTCAATGGCCTGATGGATCCAGTAACAAGTGGAATTTGGAATCACATTCATATGAAGAAAATTGATTTGGAAACAATTGACTAAATTTGCACAGCAATGGAAGTTTCAGACTTACATATCGATGTTCATCAGGACAAATGTGCAGGGAGTCATAGGAAACAGCCTCAGGTATTCTTGGCTTCTTACTCCATTTTCCCTCTTCCCCCATTAAGCTGCATAATATCTATTCGACCTCGATTAAAATTAAAAGACACTTGGATCACAAGTCTCAACATAAAATGAAAAGTCTTGAGAAGGAAGACCGTGATGTTAGATAACTCTGGAATAATCAATTTGGAAATAATTGTTTATATTTGTAGAAAAACATAAAAAAAATAATGTTGCTGGTCCCATAGGACTAGGAGCTTTGAGACTCTGTAGGAATTTTGTTGTAGAGAGATTGGCCTTCACTCACTCCCAACTCCCATACACTAGCCCCTCTGACATCCTGACAACATTTGTGGGTTTGTGTGTGAAGACATATAAACCCACTGGTGTGGGTGCAATTATAGAAAATGGATCTGTTGTGTGCCTACCTAATGGGTCTGATATTTCAGAGCCAGAGGAAAAACATCCACATTCAGCCTTGGCTAAGTTAGCTGCCCTGGCTCCCGGACAACTGAACTCTTCAGTACAAAACCAAACTTTATATCTGACCTGG